TTAACAGACCATACCAGTTGTGTATTGGCTTATTGAAGTTTGTTCTATTCATTTTTGAAGCTGTCTGAAATGAAATTCCAAAGCAGTCTTCAAGCCTGTGTATGAATTGTTCATTTTATGTTATAATACTTGATTTTTTATCAATAAATGTGACTTATGCTATAAATACTGTTTTATGTGATTTATTACTGCAAAGATAATATTTGCAGTTATTGCTTTTTAATGGTAACAAGGCAATTAATTACACAGAACAGAGTTTTTCCCCCCTAAATTTTTCTTTGTTTTCTAATTACTGAAGTATTTTGTAAGTAAAAGTATGATCTCTTTTGGCAATTAAAAAATAAATATTTTTAGCAGCTAACTATTTTTCTGTATTTGACAAGATATTAATTACATAGAATTGGTAACAAATAAAATTGATCATTATTAATCTCTGCTAAGTTATAAATATCTAGTCTTAAAGTGATTTGAAAAGGAGAAAAATATTTGATAGAAGTTAAAAGTTTACAACCTACATCTGCAGAGTTCTCTGAGGAAAAATTGTGTCATGGTTGTAACTATCAGGAAAAGATTTATAAAAGTACTTTAAGACAAAAATGGCTAAGCTGGCGGGAAAAAAAAAAGTTCCTCTAAAGAAAGAATATATAAATCACTCTCTCTACTCATATCTCAACTTGAAAATATCTCGTGGGTGCATTGTATAGTACTTATGTAGCTCATAGAAGTGACTGTTCATAGGAATGTGACATATATTTGTTGTCAAAGCAAATTGTGTTTAAAATGTGTAGCATTTGGCGCTTGCAGCTGTAAAGGAAAGTACTGTACTACAACTGAGAAACATATGAAAATGGGAGACGCTTGACTTTTCTGTTATAAAAAGTAGATTTTTTAAATAAGACATTATTTTAAAGCTGAAATCAGGGAAAAAGACATTTAGTCTTTATTTAGTGTCAGCTTTATTGCATGAAATCCACATTTTATAAAATGGGGCTTGATTGACAATGTCTTTGGAAAGCTTCTTTTGAAAATCTAAGCTATAAGTGAAAGAACAGATTTTATTGTAAATGAGATTTCTGTGTTCATTATTAACCTATAGTAGCTTTCATCTTATTTTTGCAATAATAGGTACTTTACAGTTGAAAATCTGTATGTGGAAGTAATAGATAATATAGATGTAACAATCATGAGAAAAGTGATCTGAAATAAATTTTCTTAATTGTTTAAGCCCCACACTTTAGTTTATGGCAACAGCATAAATAAATCTGAATAAAAAAAACAGAACAGAAAGTGAAACTCTGACGCAGTAAGTTTTCCCTCTGAAAAGCTCTTTAATTAAATATGTGGTTTCTAAATTTTGTAATCTGTAGATGAGATGGCAAAATTCAGAGTTCTAATTGACAGAACTGATCACAATTTAATTAAATCTTTGCAACCTGCAATTCATTTGCAAAAGAATTCCTGAGTCTAAATTTTGTTGTTATTGTCAGCCAAAAAAATGAGTATTCCTGCATGAAGAATGTTCCTACAGTTTGCCTTGTGTAATGGACTTTATGTTTAGTCTTCTTTTTATTAGAATAGCTATAATACCAAAATAAACATCAAGAGTTCTATCTAACTCTTAGTATTCATATTAGCCTTTATATAAACTTGTTGTTTATCATCCTTCAGAAAGTAAATTCCTACACTGGAAAAGGTGTTGTAAAATCAGTGGTCTCATATAGAAGCCATCTAGCATTCTAGTAGCTGTTAATTTTTGGGGTACTTGTAGTGTTGCAAAATAAGAACAGTGTGGGAGAGACTCTGATGACATAAAATATTGCAGAAATAATTTATTTTTAAAGGAGCGCTTTCTCACTTAGGAAATATTCTACACACAATAGAAATGAAAAATAAAAAATCCTGTTTATGGATTTTAATCCATGCCAGCTACAGGGGAAAAATTAAATACATCCAAAAAAAATATAGAAATAAAGAAATTGACTATAATAGGGGGAAAGACTGAGTTTGAACTTGTCTGATTTACTAGCTATGCATTAAATAGTCTCATTTACCAATACTTACTTACCAAAGTGTTTGCATTTGAAGGTCTGTTTATTGTGACTGTGGAACTGTAGAGATTCCCTTCAGAGGAGGGACAGGCTGGAGCAAAAAAAACTCCTTTAACTGTCTTCTTGCCCAGATGCCTGAAAGCACTTCCTCCAAATGGCAGAGGAGATTGCTTTATTTTTCCATACATTGCAGATGGATGAGTAATGTTTTCTTTCAGTTATGCCGAATAATGGACTTGATTTTTTATTTTATCCTTTTTGTAGAACTGTATATCTCTGTAAATGTCTGCACTTCTCATTCAAAGATTTTTAAGAGTTTTTAACTCAGAACCCGGATTTACCAATGAGTACCTGCATCTCTGATAAAAGTAAAATATACTTCTAAATAAAGCTAAAAGAAACTTGGATAAAATTTTCTATATTAGCATACTGGGATATTGTAATCTGGGCAAATAGACTGAGTGTACCACATACTGGAGGATCCATTTCACATACAATCATGCAACATCCAGCAAGTCCTTGGTTTTAGCTTCTATTCTAAAAAATCAAGGCATGTGATTGTTCTAAAGTGTTGCATATGTGATTAATTTGAATGATTGCTGTGAATTTCAAGAACAGATTTTTACTGGGACCTGTGCTCTTAAGTTGTTTTGAAAAGTCTTAGTAAGAGTATATTAAGCATCAAATGTTGAAATAGAATTATGTGACCAATTATATGGCTTTATATCTTAATATAATAACATTTTTTCCAGAAAGCTTTCAGTGAAAATCAGGCAAATGAAGGAAAATTGGCAAAGGTCATATTGAATAACTGAGGCCAGAATTTGGCCTCTGCAGTTAGGAAGCAGGGCAAGAAGAACAGCAATTTAATGTTTTGTTGGATTTTTTAACATTAAGAAAATTTTAGATAGGTTGAACTAACAACTATAGCTGTTGGTTTCATAAACACTTAATTTTCTAACAAAATAATAATTTTTTACTTTAATTGAATTTTGGAGGTTATGGATATCCTGCTAATAGAGTATGACTTTTTCCTACAGGTTTTCAAAACTAAACATTTTACACTGAACCAGAAATCCCATGCCTACTACTTTACTTCCAAGACCTTTTAACTTTAAAGTTTTTCCCTAACGTCTTTCCTGGGGAGATACCAGTTTGTTTAAACAGTCTGTCTTCTGGATAGTGATCTGTGTTAGGCACCTGAAAACAGCACTGCAGGGCTGGAGGGCTGCAGGTCTAGAATATACTTGCATGTTTTGATGTAATGCAACTGACAGGTGGAATGGGCAGTCAGTTTTGGGATGGTCCAAAATCTATTGCCTTGTCTTATTGGTCAGTTACAACATGGGAATCAAGGTCTGTTTAGTATCAAAATTACCTTGCCAGCAGGTCAGAGTAGGACATCATTATCTATCTCATGATAATAGGTAAAAGACCTATTACACTCTGCTTTCCAGGGTTTTGTACTAATGTGAATCTTTTGCTTTGCAAAGAAAAGAGTGCTTGGAAATGGAGCTCAAAAATATTTATATTGTTTACCTTTATCTTTTACCTCAGACCTACTCAGACTGTGAAGTTTTCTAGGTGAATTGATGCACTATTAAGTGTAATTTATACTGTGTGTAATCACACCACTTCTTGGACTTTTTACTTTGGTTCATTGTCCAGGAAAACCCAGTGCTGGAGTGAAAGGTTGTGATCTCAGTGTGTTACCAGGACCTTCTATACTGCCAAATAGTGATGTATAGAAAGCACAGTAGGAAGAGTTAGGCTGCCATGGACTGTAAGGCAACGTGCATTCAAAACAGTTCATCAGTCTGAGAAAATACTTGGCACTCATTTGTAGAAAGGCATTTTAACTTTTCGTTCAAACATTTGTAGAAAAACTTTTTAACTGTTTTCCCTGTGGACCTGGCGGAAAAGGGCCGGTAGATAATACTTCATCTTCCATTTTGCTGAGCCAAGTACAGGGGAAGTTGGCCAGGATTTCTCAGTTGCTGCACTCCATAAAGGAGAGACCAGGAGGAGACATGTTTTATCACTTCATTTGTCTGCTTTGGAAAGCAAATACCTATACTAAAGATATGGGGAGAAAAGGGAGCTGATAATTAGCATCAACATCAGTTCAGTCTGGCTAAGTTATTTCTACACCCACTTCTCACAGATTTTTGTGGTGCATGCCATCATTCTGGTACTTGAGACTAGGAGGATGGAAACCTCACTATTTATTTGGTTATTAAGGCTGATAATGTTATGATAATGTTATGATAATGTACTGATAATGTTATCAGTAAGGCTGATATTTATGGGTTTCTTTCAAATTAATGTGGCATTTGTAATATTTTGTGCTGTTCTAGGTCAAGTAATGAAACTCTCAGAGTCATTGTCAAATCTGATCTCCAAGTAGAACACAAATTGTGGGGGATTGACTAGTGCATGGATTTAACTCAAAGGTTGGAGATACGCAAATCCACTTACTTTTCCTAACTGCTTAATGCTTAGACAGCGCCTTAATAATCTAAGAGTTCAAGGAAGTTTGAATATGATGTTCCTTTATCCAACAAATAATATACACTCTTAGATTATATAATTTTTCTATATTTTTAAAGTGGCACAGGAAAGAGACTCTTACTCCTTTGCTCCTAAAATATTTGGTTCTTGGCAGCAGTTTTCTGAATGTATAGCAGATGTACTAAATACAGTCTGCCTATGATTTAATGCAGCACACATGCAGAGAATGAAAATAACAGTAATACAATTTGTATTTTTAATAAGGACCTTTGTGCAAGAGGAAGCACTATTCTGGTTATGACTACTTATTCAGTGATATAAATAGAACTTCTGAGTTTCCAGGACTGTCTGTCTGGCAAAGTTCATATGACCCCAACTTGTGATGCAAGACTCCTGAAAAGAATGCCCTCACTAAGATTTATTCTGTATTTTTATTAACAGGAGGAATGCTTTTTGAATTTGGAAGCTCCTATTGCAAGAGTATGTGGCTATGACACTCCCTTCCCTCACATCTTTGAGCCTTTCTACATCCCAGACAAATGGAAATGCTATGATGCTCTTAGAAGAATGATCAACTACTGAGCAGTAGTGCAGGTGAGAAATAACAGCTTGTACTGACAGGTTACCTGCCAGGGTTCTGACAGGATTACTGCAAGGTTTGGGCCTATAGTAATACTTGTTTATTTAAATATTTATTTATTATTAAATTACTTATTTAATTTACTAGTTTGTTTAGTTATTTATAGTAAGAATTGCCTCTTATGGCTTTGGGCCTTCAGTCTTAAAGGTGTCTGAATATTTTTGAGTACTGCCATTGAAATCAGTGTTTAAAATTCATTACCTTGCTTAATCAATTTAAAAATTAAGTGTCTTAAATCTTGAGTAATGAAAAGAGTATAAAGTGAAGGGTGAAAGGAATACTTATGCAGAGAATATACTAACCACAGTGTTAAATTTTATTATTTTTCACTCCTCAGGCTGGTCTGTAATCCTGCAATGTACAAATAACACCCAGTTTACTCTGAATATTGGCTCTGTATTGTAAACACACACAAACCATTGGAAATACATGAAGCATCTGTAGTGTGTTATAGTTCTGTTAAAGTACTACTGTTTAATACTTATAAAAATATTTTTTCTTTATGGTCTTCAATGTAATTTGATCATGCTTGAAGATTTCTGTTTGCAGAGCACAAAGACTGTGAAGTAATACATATTCCTGTGTCTGTTACAGTCTGTAACATCTTTTGTTTCATTATAATATTATACTAAGTAACATTTGACTGTGGGGTGGGCTGATGAGGATTTAGAATTCTGCTGTGGGAGAACTTCTGGTGTATAATGACCAAAGTTTAAGAGCTTAGAAAATGTGTTGACACAATGTATTCTGTGCTTCCTTTAACTGAACAAACTAACCTAGTTTTTGAGATACAGTCTTGATGGGTCTTGTACATGGGAAATGAAAAGAAGAAAACAATAGAAACTGTAATGGACAGGCAAGGGATTTTCAGCTCTTGACACCAAAGACAGGAGGGCCAAGGTGGGCCTTATATTAGGGGTGCCATCTTCTGTCTGTTTTACCTCTGCATTAAACTGTGAATTAAATTTAGAGCCGTGGATAAAAGGTTACCAATACCATAATGTTCATTTCCTGTATATGCAGAGTTACTTTCAGGAGACTTTTTGGCATTCCACTCTGTTTGTTTCCCTCAATAGAAGATAGTGGAGTTTCTCTATGAGAAATGGGATTGCTAGCAGTGATGCAGTGTCTCAAAAAAATAATGTAGTTCTACTTTTCTCAAATATTGCTTGTTACTGACATACCAGAGCATTTCACAGAATCACAGAATATGCTGAATTGGAAGGGAGCTATCAGGATCATTAGGTCCAACTCCTGGCCCTGTGGAAGACACTCCAAGAATCCCATCATGGGCCTGAGATTATTGTCCAAATGCTCCTTGAACTCTGTCAGATTTGGTGCTGTGATCACTTCTCTAAGGTCCCTGTTCCAATGCCCAGCCACCCTCTGGGTGAAGAACCTTTTCCTGATATCCAGCCTAAACCTTCCCTGACTCAGCTCCATGCTCTTTTCTTTAGTCCTGCCTTATCATGAGAGTGAAGAGATCAGTGTCTGCCCTTTCTTGTCCCCTCACAAGGAAGCTGTAACTGCAGTGAGGTCTCCCCTCAGTCTCCTCCAGGCTGAACAGACCCAGTGCCCTCAGCTGCTCCTCACAGCTTCCCCTCAAGGCCCTTCACCATTTTTCTTGCCCTTCTTGGACACTCTGTAATAGTTTAATGTCTTTCTTACATTGTGGTGCCCAGAACTGCCCCAGCACTGGAGGTGACGCTGCCCCAGTGCAGAGCAGAGCAGGACAATCCCCTCCCTTGCCCAGCTGGTGATGCAGTTCTTAGTGCGCCTCATTTCCTTGGAATTGAAAGTAAAGCTGTTTTCTGACTTGTCATCTTTTTTGTAGAATATGTAATCAGTGTGATCCTTTTTATAAGAGTTGCCCTTGCCTTTGATCTGGGTTGAAGTAAACTCATTAAAGATTTATTTGCTTTTTTTTGTTTGGCACCTCTGTTACAAAGTCAGGGTATCTTACCTAAGGAGAATGGTTTGGTTGTATCTGTTCCTTGAGGTGAAGTACTGGCTCATGCTAGATAGCCTCTGATTTGCTACTTTTCAGAGGAAACCAAAGGACCAAATACTGTTACCTCTGTAAGAAAAGGGAGACAAACTGAGGGCATTTTGTGGTTCAGAGACTTAGTTAACCCCCTGTTCCTCTATAGGATGGTAAAGTGAGGGAGGTATAAGCTGAAAAAATGGGTTCTGAATTGCATTGAATTCAACTGCATTGAATTTGTGCACAACCCAGTTTCGACTCTGGAAATCCACGCTAAACCTGGTCTAAAAAATTTGCCAGGATTTAGCATATCAAGGAGCAGGTTTATTAGAGGTTGTCTGAAAAACAGTGTCAAGACACAGAAAATTCTGCTTCCTGTTTGTCTAACAAAACGTCCAGATGTTGGCACCCATAGCACCATATCTTTTGGTTGGTGTGACTAGATGTTCGTGTTACAGAGTGAGCTACTCAAAGTTTTTCTTTGTTTTTCTGTGAGAGAACATTACTGTGCCTTGTTGTAAAGCACATTTCAGGGGAGTAGTCCCTTATTTTTCTGTTTGCTACACATTGGTCTTATGTACTTGACACAGCAGTTGCAATAGAGCTCCATTCTGCTGTTAACTCCACAGAGTTTGCCTGTAAGGTAGCCCACTTATGTTTCTAAGAAATTGAAGGATTGCTTTACATGTACTTGTTTTTGTACTCAGGGTAACATTTGTTACTTGCCATTGGTACAGAGTGAAGTTATGTGTTCCAAGCCATCTCTTATGTTGTTCTAAGAAATGGTTATACAGTTTGTGTGGATTTGAGCACAGTCAGTCCTTATTGGTGTTAGAGGGGTTGGGCCCCTTCATGTCCTACTGTTGAAGAGACAGAGCAGCTGGGAGTTCCCTGTGGTGAAGAGGGGTGTAGAGTTGGCTTTTGAGTTACAGAAATAGTCAAGCTGGTGTTGTGATTTAACCCCAGCTGGAAACTCAGCCCCACACAGCCTCTCTCATTTCCCCCCAGAGGGATAGGGGAGAGAGAACTGGAAGAGTAATAAAATCTGGGTACTGTGGTTAATAATTTCTAAAGTTAGCCTTATTATCTTAATGTACATTTAGTTTTGTTCAGCCTATGTTGACAGCATCTCACACACAGGTAGTTGCTTATCTTGAGTTTGTCAGTACAGATGGATTTCCTGCGTAAAGACAGTGTTTGTTAATGTGTCCTGTGTACCTCACCAACGAGACAGGCAAGAGCAAAGTCTCTATCTTTCAGCAGCTTCTCAGTTATTAAAATTTGTGGCTATGTTAGGTATATGAGAAATAGCTTCCAGGTAGGCAGCTGTGTTCCAGATAACTCTGTAGTTGGAAAGCATATAAAGATAAAAAAAGCAGTGAGATTAGGATGGATATACATTTCCTGGGTAAATGGAACAGTGTCTGGCTGTTTGTTTGAGGAGGGAAAAAAAACCCTAAAAGAAGAAACAGAAGATAGCCATGAAATCGAAGAAAATAGTGACAAGTTTTATAAAATATACTGTTGTTCACAAATATGTTGAGGGCTGATTGTAACATAGAAATGGCAGGTGTCCAAGTACTTTTCTGTTATATTTTGCAGCTTTTACTACCACATTTGCATATGTTGTTTTATTGTCAAATTCTGAATTTTAAAACTAGATTTTAACTTTTCCTCCATGAGAGTGTGTGTGTTCATCGAGAACCATTGTTACTGTTACAGTCTCTAAAAATTCAGAGTTGTCACTGAACTTCATTGCAGAACTATTTTATGAGAAGTTTAATCTTGGTGCTTAAAGGTGATGTTAGGGGAATCTTAGGGGGCTGATTTAAATTTATTTTTCTTTCCAAGCATGCAGTTGAAATTGGTTGCTGGTTGCTGAAATTGGTGCTGGGAAACAGGAAGGGAGCTGGAAGGTACTTTAGTTAGTAATTGTGTCTTCCTTGAACTCCTGGCTGTTTGGCAGGGCTTCATACAGGTTAGCTTGAGAACAGGACAACTGTACTTCCTCTCTCCCTGTTTGATACATAATATATGACAGACTGTGCAAGATCTTTTTAACCTGAGACTAACAACCATTTTTTTTTTTCAACACATAAATCACAAATGTGGCAGGCTTGACTGCCTGCTTAATAAGTGCTATCTGTAACCCACTAGAATAAACAACCTCCAGAAGCTTGAGTAGGACACAACATTCCTGGTTTATAATCTTTTCCTTCTGGATGACAAAAATCATACAGATGGTCAGTGAATCATGTCTTACGACGAGTGAGTAGTCCACATATAAGATACCAGTGTATTAGAGCTATGAGTTGGACTCATATGAGTTAGTATGGCTGCTGCAAGTCTGTACTTGCATTCAGACATTGCTGAGAACTCACGCAAGATCAGCACTGAAATTTTCTTTTAAAAAATCCCTGTAAACAGGAAGGGTGTTGATTATAGTTTCTTTAGCAGACCCCTCTTCTCTGTAATAGTAGAATGATAGGATATCTAGTAGAACAAATACAAAACATTTACTTAACATTCTAGAGTAGGAGGGAAGGTAGTTCATCATAAATTTCTTGGCGTGAATGGCAATAATTAGTGGTGTGTTGACTCTAGGTATCATTTGCAGCATTTCTAATTTCTGTGGGTCTACCCTGGCAGCTTTAAAGATGTAAAATAGTATTTAATACAAAATCAGTAAGTAATTGGTAGTAATTTGTTTTAGTTCATACACCTTGAAGTTACGACATTATGAATTAAGAACTAAGATTACCCTGGAGTGTGCTGTCTGTTTAATGTGCAGATATTAGTTTCAGTCTTCAGATTTATAATTTATTTTGTCATCTTTTTCTGCAGAGAGGAGAAGAACAACAGGGAAATACAGAAGCTGCCTTCAAAACTCTTGACATTTTAATCAGATCTTTTGGGTTTGGAATTTACATAGCACACTTTTCTTTTAACTCAGCTATCCTGAATGTTCATCTTGGCTATTCTTCAGCAAGTTCAAATTTTCCTTAATTATGAAATCAGTGATGGGCAGGTGATTGTTACAGTAAGTAGTTTCAGATGTATTTAAAGATATTCCAGATGTTGAATGAAAATTGCACATTGCCATGCTTCACTAGGTTACATCTAGACTTCACTGTGTAAATATTAGAAGCAGAATTTTATTCAATAAAACATGTTATGCTCATGTAGTCTCTTTGTTTTGCTATTGTTTTGGAAGAACCCAAAGAAGTTATTTGAATGTGACTGTTTTCAACACGATAAACCTTACACAGCCAGCCCAGCTTGTGTGATGGAGACCTGCTTTAACGGGTGGCATCAGTGTTTTACTTGAGTGGCTTCATGTAAAATAGTCCCTAATACTGTTTTCCTTTTCTGCAAGGGAAAGTCCATTTTTCTTGAGAGGGGAGGAGAGCTTTTTTTGCTTTGTTGCTGTGAGTGAGAGGCTTAATTGGTACATCTCTGCTGCAATATCCTTCCTTCTAGAATTGGAATGTGTTTCTACTAAGCAGCTGTGCAAAAAGCAGTTCCTCTTCTTTTTTGCCTGCTTTGCTCTCTGTACAAATCAGTCTCATGCTGCATTGCTTCTTACCCAATGGTAAGGGGAATGACTGGGGTGGGGTTGAGGAGATGGGTGGCCAGATAATCACATTTCTGTGATTATTCAGGGGGGTCTTTCTGAGAGGAAGAAGAATACCTTTGTACACAAAACTGCTGAGGACAATCCTCAAGGTGGCAGGTGAAACACACCAGGGAGGAACTTGAGGAGGATAACTTCACATTCAATATCACTGGATCCATGGAAAGTGCTAAACTTATCTTTTCAGGTCCTACCATTTTGTGTAAGATTCTGTCTTCATAGTTCGTGCATTCCCTGAAGAATTCCACACCTGATAATGAAGCTAATTCTTAATGTATCCAATCAAAATGAGATTGTTGTTGAATCTTGTAAGTCTCCTGTAAATGCCATGTATAGAACTTTATTGTCTGAAATAAGATACATGCATTACATACTTTATATTTTTTTTGCATTGGATGGAAGCTATTTTGGCTATATGAAGAAAAATGGTTTTAAAAATTATTTCTGTCTTTGTAAAACATTAATAGATATTTTAGTAACTGTCTCCTCAAAATGTACTGTTACTGTATTTCAAAGCATATACAATAGATGCAATTATAGTACTGCCTTAGTAAAATGTACTTTGGTAATTAATAGCCTTAATAAAATATACTTTGTATTTACAGTTTTCACAGAAAAAAGTTATTTCTGATTTAGTGCAAAGCTTAAGTTCAAGTTGCCTGTATTGAAATATGGGATAATATATTTCTTAATAAACATGTAGAAAATATTTGCTCTTAATGTGGACTGCTACAATCTGGTTGAGGGCAGGCTTTGTGTTTTCGGTGACTGGTGGTGTGTTGGTTTTAATAGTATAAAAAGTTGTTCCTTTCTCCTCGGTTTTGGGTAATAGTATGTTTTTCCCTGGCAAATATGGATTAATGTTCTAAAATAGGTGCTGCCTCCAAAAGCCTGCCTAGATGGCAGTATTCACTCACATAACCTGTGCTCAAGGAGGGAGACTGTTTAAGTGCGTGTTACGGAAAAATGACTTACTGTGCTATTCTGGATGGGAAGGTGTATGCTGGTACATACAAATAACTGTTTCTTATTAAGTTTCCTAATAATAAAATCCAAAGACAAGTCATATTTTCTGGGTTTTAACCACTTAGGTCTCCTAATTTTATTCTTAGATTTAACCTGGGCAATGATTGTTTCACTCTAAGTAACTCCTAAAGGAAAAATTGTGTCACTGCTCCTTGCTGATAGTCCAGAAAATTAGTAATCTATCTAGTCATGCTCATTTAACACCAATTGCTGGAAATACTTGCGGTACAAAGTTTATTGCTGGGTCCTGACATCTTCACCGAAAGGGTTGTCAAGTATTGGAAGAGATCCAGGGAAATAGGGGAGTCACCATCCCTGGAGATTTTTAAAGGATGTGTAGCTTTGACATTAGGATTATGGTTTAGTGGTGGACTTGGTTGTGCCAGGTTAATGGTTGAACTGGGATGATCTTAGAGGTCTTCTCCAGCCTAAATTATTCTATGATTCTATGAAAGATCTACACAGCTTTCATGGGACCCCAGATTTATTAACTGCAGATGAAAGACTTGTATCCTCTTCTGTCATCTAGCTCAATTAAGACTGTAGTGCCATAACAACCTTATCATAATAAACAGTGCACTGATTATATAAAAATTGGATTTAAATCATTAGAGGTATTCTTCCTCGTGGAAGTGCATGTGTTTGTAAGAGGATTAGCCAGTAGTATATTCTCACTGCAGTAGCCAGGAGCCTTGACACAATGACCTTCTGCTCCTACGGTCTGATAACCAATTCTGAGCCCATTAATCTTTCCAGACAGATTTCTTGCTCCCTTAGCTGAAACCTGGTGTTTCTGGTGCACTGGTATACTGCAGAAGCTCTGTTCTAGCCACATAACTTCAGAGGCAGCAACTGAAAGGAATCCATTCAGCAAGCTGGCACAGATTGTTATCACAGCAGCTCATGGGGTTCAGTGAGCATTATATGTTCATAACAAAATAAGCTGACACAGTCTGTAAGCTCTGCCAGATTTCAGCAGACCTGAAATAAGGATGCAATTCTTTTGTAGCTCTTTTTCAGCTTAGCTGCTTTGCAAGATACACGTTGATTAGATATGGGAGAGCTACGGCTGACTTCAGTATAAAACATGATTTTTAAAAATTGGTTCAGTTGCTTGTGCTTTGGCATTGAGTACCATTTGAGACACCCTGGGGTATCCTCCATGGTCTCCATGTCTCCAGCTGCTGCTTCCATAGGTCCTATGTGGTATCTGCCAACCCCATGTGTATCTTGGGTGCCTCAAGGCATCTCAGATAGCATAGATGCTGGCATTCAGGCATCTAAATGGAGTTCTTTGTTTTCTAGAAATTTGGATAGCTGATGTCTGACTATTTTTCTGTGAGCTTGCATAAAATGCCAGCACTGAGATTGGTCCGTTCCTTGATTTTCCAGATATATTGCTCAAATCTACAGGATGTACATAAGGTGGGCTACATGATGTTGTGTGTGAAAGAAAGTATCATCTCCTAGATGATGGGCTGATGCTGCACTGCACTGTTAGTTCCTCAAGGAGAATAAAAAACCCCAGCCTTGGAACTGATACCTGGCTGGAGTTGGTTGCCATATGTCACAAGGTTTCTGATGATTATCTGAAGGTAATGGGGCAAGGACCTAGTTCTATTTCAGCAAAACCATGATCAACAGGAGTGAGTTAATGGGAGATGAGTCCCCTTTCTTTCTGTATACTCTATGTGGGATTCAACTCAGGATTAAGCCACCTAAATGTGTCTGGATTTAGGTGTGTATGGCTGAGCAGAGCAGGTGAGCTGGTACTAAGTTCCTTTAAGGTAATCTTGACTCATTCTGCAAGCTGAACTGATTCCACTGACTGGTTGTCTCTGCATGGTGCCACATTAGGTGCCGTTAAGGTGTCCTGCCTGGCCCTCAGCTGCTTGTCTGGAAAGGTTCAGGTCTCCTGTCAGTCCTTGGTCACACCTGCTACTCAAGGTACATCTTCCACCATGCTCGAAGTCATCTGGGGTATCATTGCTAAATGTGCAGGCAGCAGGATCTAGTTCCCCATTGGCTGTCATGGCTGCCATGGGATCACAGTCCAAAGGTAGACATTAGATTCTTAACTTCAGATGAAAAGACTCATTCTATGCAGAAGGGATGGAATGGAGAGGAAGCACATGAAGTGTTTTGTGGATGCTGGGGCCGTGCACTAAGTGGTGGAAGGAGCTGGGAGAGGATGGTCTGTCCTTCAGTCCAGCTGCTACGAGCAGCATTGGCCTAATCCATACTTAAGGTCATGTAAGTCATCCCCAGCCCCCTAACAGAAAGAACTAAACCTCCTGATGAACAATACCAATTAATTTGATCAGCTGCCTATTTACATATTTCACGGGCAACACTGAAGCAACCCCAGCCTTGGTTTTATGTTACTTGCTTTGAAATTGCTTTATGGTCTTTGGTGATGTTTTTAAACCCTATTTTTGTCTGCCAAAATGACTCTGCTACTCGAAGAGCAGAAACTAGTGTCTGGTCTTGCTCATGTAGGTCTGTGGCTAACTGTTCTACAGCTGACAGTAATGTGCCACCAGTGTCTCATAAGGCATCCCTGTTGATTCCTGTGTGTAATTAATTACTTTTATACGGTAATTAAATCATTCCTGTTTACTTGCACTCTGCTTGCAGCTGAGTACTTGCTGAAAAGAGAAATTGTCTGAATTGCCTGTGGTTGCTCTCTTGCAGCTCTGTGAGCTCTGCCCTGCCTGAGCCGCTGCTAGTTTCAGGTTTGAGTAGTCTCTGGCAGTTCTGAGGACAGCGGCCCGGGCTGCTGCGGGACTTTACGGGTACCAAAGCTGATGCACCCCTTCCCCTCTGCTGCCCCGCCAGTTTCAGCTGTGCTGGGGTTCGAGGCAGCCCCTGCCCAGGCTCCGGCCGGCAAAGGGCGCTGTGGGCGTGCGGAGCTGTGCCGGGATGCCCGCGGCCTTTGGTCCGGCGGGGGCCGGGGGCACAGAGGCTGCCGAGCCCCTGGGAGAGCCGGGAGCGCGGCACCGCTCGGCCCTGTGCGCCGGGAACGGGCTCTGGCACGGCCCGAGCCGCGCATCCAGGCGGGTCTCAGCGGCAGCTGCGCACGGGAGATAGCAGAGATTGTGTTTCAGTGATGACCCGGGACCTGACAGGCGCTGTGTGACTCCAAGCCTGCCTGCATTTGCAGTGCACAGTGTTCCACATGCAGCTCGGCTGTCTCACACTCGTTATTTGCTAGTCTAGGGGTTTGCAGGAAGGGGCAAACCCAGATATGTTTAAAATTTTTGGATGGTTTGTGCAGGAGATGCAGGCAAGGTGCCTCCAGCAGGACCCGTGGCTGTAACATAGTGCTGTATGCTTTTCTCTACCATCCAGCCTGCTGCAGGGTAGTGCCTTAAGTCTAAGCATAAGATGATTGAGATGTGTGTGTCACATAATAAAGTGTTTTGGCCTCAGGAAGTTTCAAAGATGCCTCTCAAGAAAGTGCTGAGGCAGTGGATGAGCAAAGTGCAGCCTTGTTCAAGTGCAGCTCTAATGGTTTCATG